ACAATCTAATTATCTCCAAGCGCCCAAAAGTCCATGCTTTATTGTGTCCTCGAAAACCGCATAAAAATACACAACTTGGTTCATTCGACTAGTCATTCGGTAGCTCGGATCTGGACGCCTCAGGTATACTAATTGCGCCCAGATCCCACGAACAGAACGGGGAATTTCTGCCATATAAAGTCTCATTCGGTACTTCTGCCGCGAACCCCTGCTGGCGGCCATGTTTTAAGGCTGGTCAATGGACAGCGGGACCTCGACCTGAAACTCCTGGAGCGGGTTTCGGCTACATATTCACACGAATCCCCGCTCTCCGTATGGTTGTCCCGGCTGTTCGGGAGACGAACAGAGGCCGCCCAGAAGGGGGTACTTAACCTGCGGTTAACCGTAAGATCATTGTTCTAATTGAGGCCACACGCCAGAATGTAGGTGGTCCACGTTCGTGAGTCTTTCGGTAGTTTCCCTTCGGATAAATGCACACGAACGTGGATCCCCTGTGACCGTCAATTAGTTGGTGGTTGACCGCAGCTCCGGGGTGGTTAATGAGAGGCACACTCCGCTCGTAGGGTGGTCGGTTATTCGGTACCTTCCGAGGTGACTGGGGTTAAGTGGCGGCACACGCCAAGGGCTAGGTGGTCCATCGTTCGTACATACGAATGGGTGTTTATAATGGTTCGTGGAGTGAGTTCGTATGGTCTATATACCGAACACAGGATGGGTTTTAACGAAAGGGGTTAGTTTGTAACAGTGTGCAAGGGGTTCTTGTAACAAGGATCATTTCAGAGCTCTCCTTATTGACAACTCACGTGCAATAAAGAGAGTCAGGAGATAGTGCAAAATATTATGGGGTAAATAGGAGCCGGTGGGAGTCATTTCACAGAAATCATTGCCTACACTCCCCACAGTAAAGGCAGAAGCATCTGATTACTGAAACAGATTGTCACAGCGACCATCACCAGACGACAGGGTCATCTGCACCAAAGTAACATGTTATATGGTGTAAATCCAACTGGTATCTAGTATCTGTAGATAAAGATACACTCATGTGGTAAAGAGCTATATGACTTTCACAGTGTTAAAAGGACAGGAGTGGTATTATCTCCCCTTTGGATATGCAATGTGTTTCAGCTCTTGGGTAAACCAAAAGAGATGGAAACAGGCAGCAAATAGTGTTACTCTGCATTAAATATGTATTGTTAGATCGATTTAAGTCTGGGTCTGTAGTTGTGGGAGGGGCTTTATAAGGGCATCCAATCCTCTCCTATTATACCATTGTTGGTTTGACGAGTTGAGGGACTACTTCTGGTCAAGTCGCCATCTTGCTGCTTCTTACCTGCTTCCCTCGTGGTCCTGGTTCCTGGCGCGGTTCTACTTACCTGACTGCTCACCCAAAACGCTACAAGTCCGCTGCCTCTTCTGGCTTGCTCGGAGACTTGTCTCGGTACTGCTCGTTTCAACTGTAACTTAGACCCTTACCATCGCGCCTCGGTCGCAATCATTCATCACGGTTTGGGTCTATTTCCTATTTCTTATAATTTCGTATAGTTTCGCATGTGTTCGGCACTTTTCGTATTACCGCATGTACGTATTAGTTTGCTTCTATGTGGTAGGGGCTTTCGGTTCTTTCAACCACACGAACACGAGCCTCGTTCGGCTCTTTTCATTACGTTTGCATACTTAAGCATTTACCATTCGTATGATTCATACAAACTGTCTAGTAATTTGTGTTGGAAACAGGCGAACAACTAGGTAAAGGAATTGACTGTTCGTACAATACTTCCCGATTGACTGTTATTTCTCATTTCACTCTTACACGAATTAAGATGAATTGTATGTATATCTGTAACTTTTGAGTGCCAGTGATTCTGCTTTAATTATCACCAAGAGGCCAATGTTCGGTGGCCTCAAATCCCCTCCGGCCAAAGCATAGTTAGAGCCTCTCACGCCACCTGGCGACTAGCAGGGCCTCACACATTGGCGGATCCAGGGGGGGGGCAACGGGGCAATTGCCCCCCCCCCGAGATTCTCCCCTGCCGGCTAACGCAGGGCTGGCATTGCCCAAGTGCCAGCCCTGCAATGTGCCTGCGGACCGGGGAGGAAGATCAGAGATCTCCCTCCCCGGTCCGCAGGCACCGTGCTGACAGCCGGCGGCGGAGGGAGGGAGTGAGAGAGAGAGAGGACCCGGGAGCTCAGTCTGCAGCTCCTCCGGGTCCTCCTCTCTCGAGATTTGGAGCGTTGCCGCGGTTACCACGGCAACGCTCCAAATCTCGCGAGAGTGAACTCTAGCCCAGGAGCACTGGGACCACCAATGAATCCCCCACCGGACCACCAGGGAAATGTCCCCGCTCCTCCTAAATAAAGGTAAGAAGGGAGGGGGGACATAGAATATTTATTTTATTAAATTTAAAAAAAATTATTAAAAAGCCTCCTGCCCCCCACATACACACACTGCCCCCCCATACACACACTGCCCCCATACACACACTGCCCCACAAACACTGTCCCCATACACACACTGCCCCACAAACACTGTCCCCATACACACACACTGCCCCAAAAACACATACAGTGCCCCCATACATACACTGCCCCCTAACACACACACTACAACCCTGACATACACTGCCGCACTCACACACTTCACCCTTAACACACACCACTGCTCCTATACCCTATATCCCAGCAGACCCAGGTAAGTTGTCAAACTGTTCTTAAACGGTATGACTACTTACTCTGGGGTGGAATCCTGGCACTACTGACACCATAACTACTACACTGAGCTGTAGTGGTTATTGTGCCTGGATTATTTAATTAAATAATCTACAAGTGCCCCTCCCGAGATCAGGCTCTGGATCCGCCACTGGCCTCACATGTCATTCTGTGGTAGTATAATTTTTCACGGTTTGGCATTAGCTAGCCAGCCAGTACCAGGCTACATTTTCTCACATATGGTAATTACAGATATATATGTATGTCTCAAGTTCCCGAAGTACCAAAAGAACTCTCCCTTCCTAGCAACCCTGCTAGGTCCTGTACCCCTGCCAATGGAGCCGATGCAACTAGTCCATCTTCTCTAAGATCGTGGACTATTCCACGTCTCACAGCAGAGCTCCGTAGAAGAGGTATTCCTTTCCCAGCTACTGCAGGAAAGCAGAGCTATTCAGACTTCTCAATACCAACACCGACAACTCGGATGCAGGGGAAGGGCCTAGTGGGTCACAGATGCCGGATGTTCATACTATGATGACCTCATTAATGTCTTCTATGGGACTGATAAGTGAAAGACTGGAGAAATTAGAAGCAGTCTGTTCCTCTAAGGTGCCTGCAGGGCCCGCTATTACTGATTCTGCGGGCTCAGCTGCCACGCCTGGTAACTCTCTCACCCCATTGAAGGTCCCCGAAAGTATCAACCCATCGCATACGGTCTCCGCTAATCTCAAGAAAGACATCCTGGAGGGCAAGGATGTTAATCTAGTCTCACTCCTAATTGCCTTCCAGGATGTCCTTGAGTACAGGACCTTTGCGTATCAGGACATATCAGTGGTGCTAAAGGTAAGAGATCCGAGGCTGAATAAAAAACTGTCTATACCTGCATTTAGGTTTTGGGATTTATAGGGATGTGTATTGCGCTGTTTATCCTGGAAAAAAGGGAAGAATTGGATGTATACATGCACAAACTGGTGAATCTTGGGCACAAATACGGTGGCACAGCCTTCTATGACTACCACCGTTCCTTTTCTGCAAAAGTGGCTGCAGCACTGACTCACACTGTTAACTACAGCATAAACTGGAGTAAGGTGGATACTGAGTTATTCTGCCGGCATTTTGCAGGCCTCGGGACTCCTGCTTGTGCAGTTTGTGCATTCATGGCACACTCTACCAACCTTTGCCCTAATACAGCAGAGGTTGAGCAGGGCCACTCAGTCCCTAACTCCGCTAGATCAACCAGACGTTTAAAGGATAAGCTGGGTAGGGACATTGTCTTCCTAGGCAAGTCCCAGATATGTAACAATTTTAATGCGGGCACTTGTGGGTTTAGTTCCTGTAGGTTGTTACACATGTGTGCTTACGGTTTCCGGGCTCACGCAAAAACCATGTGCCCTAATAAAATGTTCCCTAAACCATACCTCACTTGCATCAATGTAACATTATTTGCTACTCTATTACGACACCACCACTTACAACATTTGGTTAAATTTCTCAACGAAGGGTTGTCTAAAGGGTTTCACAAATATCATACACTTGCCATCTGTTACGCTGGAATGCAATAATCTGCAAATGGCAATGACAGATCCAGAGTTAGTAGGTGAGCTTATCAAATTGGAACAGGGTATTGTGTTAGGGCTGTTTATTTCCCCACCTTTCACTTCATGGAGAACTAATCCTATTGGTGTTGTCAAGAGGAAAGCTTCACATAAACACAGACTGATCATCAACTTATCGGCACCACATTGCTCCATGATCCTCAGTCTTAATTCCCTCATACCCTCTGACGAATTCTCTCAGCAATATGCCACTATTAACAATGCCACTTAGCGGCGGGGACAGGAGCATGGCTCAGTAAAATGGATATTGTCAATGCTTTCAAGTTGCTTCCCATTCACCCTTCACTTTGGCATCTGCACTGCATTAAGTATCAAGGTTTATATTCTTTTTTTCTCCGGGCTCACTTTCGCGCTAAGAGCTGCCCCAAAATATTTGATATTTTCCCGGAGACCTTGTGTTGGTTGCTACTAAATGTGTGTAGATGTCCTACTGTAATTCACTATTTAGATGACTTCCCCACGATTAAAGACAACTCACTACATAAAGCAGCCTCAAACATATGATGGCTCTTTTTGAATCCCTGGGTATACTGGTCTCCCTTAAAATAACGGTAGGTCCGGACACGATTATACATTTTCTGGGGATTCAACTAGACTCCGTTCACAGGCAGGCCAGTCTTCCCCAGGAAAAGATTGAGTGCACCCTATCGAGCATTGAGTTGTACTTACAACTAGGTTCTTGTTACCAGAAAGAACTTCAATCTCTGCTTGGTTCGCTCAATTTTGCCATGAGAATCATTCCTTTAGGGTATATCTTTCATTTCCCGTCTACTTTCTTTGCTCCCGGACCTCCCCTCAGACAGACACACATGCAACGGCTGACTTACTTATGTGACGCACTTTTCTCACATCTTGGAATGGGCAAGTCATGTTCCTACCCCCACTTTCCGACAATTCTCCTATACGCTGGACAGATGCTGCGGCCAATACTGGCTTTGCAGCCATCTGTGGCAACAAATGGCTTTGTGGTCCATGGCCCAGAGAAGTTAAGTCCCTCCCTAGCTTCTCCACTACATCGGCCATGTTCGAGTTGTACCCAATCGTGGCCGCGGCTATTGCCTGGGGGCCAGACTGGGCTTGTCACTCAGTCAGATGTTTTTCTGACAACCTAGCCACTTGTCACATTGTAAATAAAGGCTAGTCTTTCTCTTTGGTAATAATTACATTTTTGAGGAGACTCACATGGGTGGCAGCCACCAATCAATTTTACATCACCTGTATTCACGTTCCGGGGGTCACAAATGCTGATCACTTGTCTCGGTTTCGCTTTCAGGCCTTCCGGCAGACTCTGCCCACCGCTTCCCGTCTGGCTACCCCTCCATTCCAAGACATGCTCCTGGATTAAACGTTTTATTGACTCATGCACGTAATCTTTCCCACCTTGCACTTTGTTAACTCTAGGAAAACCTATGATAGGGCATTTCACATTCTCATCAAGTTCCTAGCAAAATTTCAAGCTCGAGAAATGTTTGCTTTGGAAACTATATTGGGGTTCACTTCTTTTTGCCACCTTAATTGAAAATTATCTGTAAACAAAATCAAACTTTATCTAACGGGCATTCAACATCTGAATAAAACAGGATTCCTTTCATCATACCAGAGAAAAACTTTGCTGAAGGGAATCCAAACAGCAGATACACATCTACCCCCTCAAAGACTACCCATCCACAATACAATAATCAAATCATTATCCGATTTGTTAGATACAGCTCCATTCGAACATATGACCAATATGGTAACTAAAACCATTTATCTAGCATTTTATGGATTCTTACATCCAAGGGAATTCACCAACAGTAATGTAATGACCACAGACTACATAAAAATAGCAGATATCCACAAAGCCGTAGACCATTACCTTCTTTCACTTCACCAGTCTAAAACTAGCCAGATGGGATGCACGGTTGACATACCTTTTTTCCCTACCTATAATAAATGGTACCCCGTTAAGGTTTTGGAAACATATTTTAACACTTTCCACAAACAACCACACCAACCACTATTAGAACTACATGGTTCCATTCTTACTACTGCTAAATTTATGCTCTATGTCTGTATGCTATTGACTAGACTTGGCCTAAATGCAAATCATTACTCAAGACACTCTCTACACATAGGGGCAACATCATCTGCTTCCTCCAACCACATTCAAGCTCATATAATCAAAGTTATGGGACGCTGGAAATCATCTGCTTACACACTATACATACCAAACCCAATTAAAGAGTTACGGCAAGCATTCTGTGATTTGTCCAAATAATAAACCCAGTTAAAGAGTTACGGCAAGCATTCTGTGATTTGTCCAAATAATTGATAGTTGTAGTATGAATAAAATGTTGTATGGTACACTTCTTTTTGCCCTCTTTATTACAGGCCTACTGCATTGTCGGTTCCGGCACACCACAACTGACTGGTGTAAAAAAGGAGTAAGATATTCGAATGATAGGATAAAAAAAACACTGAAGGGGATAAGAAATTCAAAAGGGGGGTTACATGGGGTGGGGGGGAGGAGGGGCAGAAAAATGCATCTTCACCTGTGTGTCGTGTAACCCCCCCCCTTTTTGAATTTATCTCCTTCAGTTTTTTTTTTTTATCCTATCATTCAAATATCTTGCTCCCTTTTTACTCCCTCATAACAATTGTTAGTACAAGATATATCTAATCAATAATATGTATTTAATATAGAGAAACACGATTTGTTGCCTGTTTCCATCCCTTTTGGGTTACTCGAGTGAACTGCAGCACATAGCATATCATAAGAAGAGATAACACCACTCCTATGCTTCAATAAAGAGCTAGTTTGATAGCGGTTTGCCATGTAGGTGTGTATTATTACTATTACCAGACACCTGCTCGATTTACACCAAATATGTACGTAGGTACTCTGATTTTTACATAACTACTAATCCTATAACCAACATAAGATGTGTCACTTTGGCACAGGTTAAATTCTGTGTTTAAGAGAAAGGGGCTGGTGTTAGTGTCAGCCCATGGCTTAATTTTGTGTCTTTGTAGGGGTCTACTCTGTTCTGGAGGGATAAACAAGTATTAATGTGGGGGACAGCTGAATTGCTATCACTGAGAACAACCTTATCAAGAGTCCCTTCTTCTGGTCATGTTTGTGACTATTTTAGACCTGCTGGACATCCTGTTTAATTAATTACCCTCTCTATGATCTTATCCAAAGGTCTTGATGCCCCACTATCAACAGAGAGCCTAATGTGACAGACAGATCAAACAAATCTATTATATTTAAACTGCTGTAGTACTTGACATTTTAACACTTGCATCACAGTAGAAGGGTAATTTGTTTGCTGGAAAAGCCCAAGTTTATGTTAGCCTTATAAATCTAACACAGGAGTATATATTTTCTCTGTTATATTTGTAGAGGCATTTTGAAGTTGTCTGGATCGGTTGCTTAATTCCAAGGGCAGAAAATGCGAACCACAAACATTCAAAATTAAACAAGTAAACATTTTTAATTATAGGTAAAGGTTTGGGAATAGACCCCCTATGTCCACATATATTTTTGGGATATGGGGGTGGTGGGGGCATTTTAATATTGGCGCCTAATATGACTTATGCTGGCTCACTCATCAATCACAATGTTTCCGATTGTTGTTATAAATAAAAAATACATTTACCTCAGTTAATTTTATCATATAATGTTCTTGCTCTAAATTCAATTTTTCATTAATTATTTTTTTTAAATAAAAACATTACATCAAGTTTCATATGGCTTATTTCCCAGTGCAGCAGCTCTGTGTGTAGTGAAAGGGCCTTTATGACGTAACTCTGTGGCTGTGATGTCATCAACAGTGCTAAGTATATAGTAAAAGGGTAATTATGATGTAACTGACTGTGGTCTATGTGTGATGTCATCAACAGAGTTATGTCATGTTCATTAAAGACATGGTTGGATTTGCCAGTAGGTCGCACCTACACCAGTTTGTTTATTCAGGACACCTACTCTAGCACCACAAATAGGCATTATTAACCTTTACATATATTTAGCTGCTCCTTATTTAGAACAGTAATTGCAGTGGGTTCTTTGGGGACAGATATTATGCCCCTGCTGTGCAAGGTTGGCTGCCTGCAGGGGAGTGCAGATCATTTCTACCCCTGCCAGCCCAGGGAAAGACAGAGCTGGAGCTCCAGGCCCAAGAATCTATAAGTTGCATGGTGCGACTGGATCCTAAAGTGCCAGGAATCCCCACAGACCCTTTAAGAATGCTGTGAACAGGCTCCCTTCTGGTTCTTGCTGGAAAATTCCAACACACATGCCATGTAACATGGTCTTTATAAAGGACACCAGGGATGTATTCATGCTTTTGGGACCTGGGGCGAATTTAAAACGAGGCTGCAAATATTAAGTCAAAATAGCTCAGCAGGAAAAAATAATCTGCAGTAGTTATGGTACAAGCATGCCCCTTTAAAAAAAAAAAAAGAACCAGAGGAATAAACAGTTTAAGTAATTTGTCTTAAACTAAGACTTCTTCAGGTTTCCCTGGCCTAGAATATTGCTATTGGAGATGTCACAATTCAAAGTCCATCTCTATTTGGACAACCACCTAGGGGATCTTTGGTTTGTGTCAAACCAGTCAACAACATTCCCAGGCATGCTGACACCATAACCACTACAGCAAGCAGTTGAGACTAAAACCATTTCTCACAGCACCCATACACATAGGAGACCAGCAGTTCACCAAGTTTGTTTGACACTAAGTATCAGAACTAGGACAACAAGGTTAGCACATTTAAAGTGGACATATTGCAAACAAACGTGTCTGATTAAGTCTTTTTCAGGTAAATTGTATAACTAAAGTTAAACACTGTGTGAGCCACATCACAAGGAAATGTACAGATTAAAATCATATCTATGTTTCTGAGCTTTGCAGTACAATGCACGCAACAATCAATCTACACAGCTCAATCACTTAAAGATGTTAGATGAGAAATAATAATTTGCTCTTTAAAGCGGCACGGTCATGCCGAACTTACCTTTCTTTAATAGATTCCTCTTCTCTCCCGCTGTCAGGATCTGTTCTTCATTTGACTCATAACTCTGATTGGTTGTTTGATAGCAACCAATCAGTGTTTTTATGAGTCAAATTACACAGCATGGGAAAATACCAAAGAACTTTCCCACGCTGTGTAAAATGACAGAGCACTCTGATTGGTTGGATTTCAAGCCAACCAGAGTGCTGTGACATGTACATTTAGAGATTTACCTGTCAGAGCTTGCTGATTGGTTGGCTTAAACCAACCAATCAGAGCGCTATGAGCCTAATTGCAGGGCATGGGAAGGCTTTATAAGCCTTTCCCTGCCCTGCGGAGCTCAGTTTGTGCGGTGCCCTCCATGGGTGAAGATTATTTTTTTAGCGTTTTTTTTTTTTTTCCTTCTTCTAAAGTCCGACTGGTTTTATGGACTTATTTGGCCTTTTTTGGGGCTGAAAAAAAAAAGATTTTAGAAAAAAAAGACATCAGGCGTGAGGGGGGTAGGTAGGGGTTTATTTATTTTGTTGGGTGGGGGTTGACTAGGGGCTTGGGGAGCCCTAGTCACCTGGGGGAGGGGTTAACATTTTCATTTAGGGCCCCCACCCGACCACAATAGGTCCCCCGTTCAGTGTAATAGCCCTCACTTGCACAGCAGGGGTAGGGGCTCAGGAGGGGGGACACAGGCTGCTTGCTGTTTATTAAACATGCCCCTACTCGCAGTATAGCAGGTAGGGGCAGAATTTACTAATACTAAGTAATCTTTACTTAGTATTCGTAATTTTGGCTGTAAGACCAACATAGGTCTTTCAGCCTTCTAGTAGAAAGCTACCTGATACCGGTGGAATTAGGGAGTTATCTACTAAGCGGCTTCAAGATGCAGCCGCGGCATGAATAGGATAGGAGTTTCATTCATATGAATGAAATTCCGATACGAACAAAGTCCCGAAATGTGTCCAAACATGAATGAACAAACTGTTCTCATTCTGTTAGGATGAAATTTGGTAGTTTCGCCCGCGTTCTAAGTGACAGGACGTTCGGGAATACTGACAGGAAGCATCGCGAGATCACGAAGGAAAGATAATTGTGGGAAAATTGCTTTGATCACCGGAAACGAAGCACACTTTGCTCCTCCACTGCTCAAAGCTGGTCATGTGTAGGAAGCCTTCATAAGACAAAGTAGTCCCTATTTTGTCTTATATTTTAAAGAAAACTAGAGAAGACAGGAAGAAATGAAGAACAGATCCAGACAAAGGGAGAGAAGAGGAATCGATTGGGGTAAGGTAAGTACGGCATGACAATGCCGCTTTAATAACAACTTATCTTGACATTGCTTAGCACAACATATAGATGGCATTCTGCTGTCTATATAAAGTATATACAGTTTTAATGGTTTTTAGTTTCTGACTGAAATCTGAATTGCTGATTGCAATAACAACCGAATCTGGTACAATTTAGGATAAGTAAAAACTGACATTCTTTTAAAAAATCCTATTCCACTGTTAGGTTTAATTTGACAAACCCAGGTTTGATAAAATTATGTAGACGCCTATGGCTCAGATCAGCATACAGAGAGAACAAACAGTTAATCTAGCAACAGATGCAAGCTTTGGGTCACCTATATGTAAGTACCAAACTTGGATAGAACAGAGTTCGGACACGTTACATATCACACCGTCACATCGTATTAATAAGTGGAAATTAGGTTTTTCAGAAAAGGTGGAGGAATTAAACAGGAATGGAGATAAGACACAGTCAGCCTATTACACTTACACTGTTCTGAATGTATTGTAACTTTTATTGTCATTTCATAAGGTTCTCTCAAATTCCAGGAGTTGATACTCCTAATAATCATTATAAAACAAACTAGTTACAGTTTTTGAATGTGTCACAGCCAGTTTACAATGCAAGTAATTGGCACCTCTCCATTTGATCATCTTTGCTCATGATTGTAAACATGCAAATATATTGTTTTATTACATACTTCCTTACCCTTCACCAAAAAAACAAACAAACCTTAAAATAAGTTAAAACCCCAATCTCATAAAGAAATACAAAGAAAGAACAGTATTAAATCAGGGCATGATGCATTTTTTTGTTCACTTCACATTACGGTTCAGAAATGTTGTTCTGGTTTGTCCGACTGCTTTATGGGTTGGAGACAGAATAAAAACTACTGGCAACAGTTCAAGTTTTTTTGCATGTAAATTAAAAATCAAGTGGTAATAGGACCCGCTTTGTTCACAATTTCACTTTTTGTTGCAAAAAATAACTTAATAAGCAAAGTCCCAGCCAATTGCTTGCTTAAATATATCCCCTGTCAAAAAGTCTTCAAACAGTGAGGAGTGGAGTCTGTGTTCAGCACTTCAATCATTGTTCTCAGTGTTGGGAATGTTTCAGAAACCGATGGAAGATTCTTGTATGAGGAAGGCAAACTGTATAATAAAAAACAAAAAAATAAACACTAAATATAAAAACAAAACAAAAAACATCTTCATCTATTTATACAATCTGGTATATAACAGAAGCTCATGATGATATATTATTGTAATCTTAATTCTTTACAACAAAAAAACATCTTGTTTATGTATGATATACATTTATTAACATTTATTTTAGGAATAGGCCAAGCACCATAACCACTACACGCATGCTGTTGTGGTTTGATTATGGTACAGGAGTGGCCTTGTAGGCTCCCAGGGTAAGTAATCAAACAATTTGACAACTTACCTGGAGTCTTCTGGGTGCAGGTCAAAGTCTCTGGAAGACCCTGAGCTACAATGCAAAAAACGCTTTCATGTTAAATAGGTAACAATTTCCAATGGCGATCAGTTTGTACTTACCTTTTAAAATTCATCCAGCTTTTTGCACTCTTTGTAAAAGCCTCTGCTCCGGGTGCAGTCATTGCCTCAAAATCAACCAGCTGTAAGGATAAAACAATACACGATGCACATAAATACATTTAAATGATTAAGCATGAATATTTGTGATACCGCATAAGAAAAGACCACATATTCACGCAACCATTAACCGATTCACTCTTATTTATTTTCACAGACAAATGGCCATAGAAACCAGAAAAGCTCATTAGATGTATTACACCTTGTATTTTAGTATTCCTTAGTATAGCGGCAGTATAAAAGGGATGTTCTACTTTCAGGTGGCC